CACCCCACCTCGATTAAAGTGTACTCGTCACCTGGCCTGAAAATAACCAATTAAAGAATCGCCCGTATTAATGAGAGAGGAGACCTGTGTGTAACCTCCGATCTAGGAGGTGTTTCCACGCGCACTCACATTGTTCTCAGAAATTGAAGTGTGCTCCTCATCGTCCCCCTACCCCCTTGCCGGCAAATAACCACTTCTTTTCAGATCAGAAGAGCCTCTTTTCTTTTACCACTTTCTCTGTACTTAAGCAGCTGGGTATTTTTCCCAAAAAAACATCTAACGAGGACAAATGCTTAGGGGCGAAAAGCCTTACACAACACATGCACCAAACGAGCTCATTCTACGCCTTTCAAGTTATACGAGTTCTTAGAAAACAGTATTCCCTTTGTTAGATCGTAACAAAATGAAGGTAACACACCTACAGCAGGGCGGTTACCCTGTTATTGCACTAATCAAGCTCTTTGGATGCTATTAAGCTAATAAGCCGATGGAGATCTGAAGCGCRCACACAATTTCCAGTTACTCGTCTCTCCTTCCCTATGCTGTCGAGGCCTGGTGTGATTTTTCTCAATTCCTTTGAAGGAGAGACTGTAGACACCACTACCAGAGGAGAAGGAGGAAACAATCAGCCAGCGGTGATTTCACAAAGGCACCCGCCTTTCATGATCGCGACACCAAATATTTCACCTTCCTTCGGCCGCTGCGAAGTTTTGTGGTGCTGGCAGGACGGGCAGCGCGGAGAGAAGATGCGGGGTGCACTGCTCCCGTTGCTGCCGGCCTGAAGACAATAGGTAACTTTACATGGAAGGTAAAATATTATTGAAACTTCGGCAGCTTGCCAGCAAGTTAAAAAAAAAAARRAAAAAAAATCAGATCCCGAGTTTGGGTTTGCCAAGTTAATCACTTCCTACAAAGTTACAGAGAACAGGGGGTAACCTGAGGAGCTCCCGGTCATTCCAGGAGAAAGTGGTAATAGCGGGATTAAAAGGGACAACGATCACGATAGCGTCCTAACGGGAGAGGGGTGAGGAAGCTGATTTACCACCCCAGCCGGTGCCTGGGATGGAAAGAGCTCTCCTCTCCCCTTCGAAGACAAAAAGCCAGGTCTTACAAACACAAATGGGCCCCCAATCTTTCCAATRCCTGTTTTATCGGCTCCATCTCGGTTTGTACAATACACAGCTTTGCACTTTACCAACTTCTCTCCCYCCACCCAGACAGCCCAGAGACAGCAAAAGAAAGTTGCTTGGGGAGGCAAATCCGCTTGGTTTCCCCCACTCCCCGCTTCAGCTTTCTCCTACCCTCTCCTTCCCTGCTCTTGCCCCCTTCCAAGCACACCAGATCTTTGCCCTGTAAGTCCCAACCGAGCCCCAAACTCTGACTCCAGGACGAAAAACCAGGCAGCCCCCCAGAAAGATTTCCTGAAAGATAAAGACAAAGTTGAGAGAAGGTGGGGGGTGGGGGGAAGAGAGGAGAGAGAGCTGCCTGAACACGAAGTGTAAGGGTATCAGTCACTGCCTGGAAGGAAGCCCCAGCTTGTGAACTCTTCTTGAACCGACATTTAAGTCTACGGTCATAAATCACTGGGACATAAACTCCGCCATTCACGACTGATAGCAGCGTATTTGTGGCCTGCTTACCTTAACTTCTGACGACTGAGGCGGAAGCCAGCATGCTCTCTCTCTCTCTCTCTCTCTCTCTCTCTCTCTTTTTTTTTTTTTTTTTTTTTTTTTTTTTTTGGAGGCGACACAACCCAGAGAGCAGGGGCTGTCTGCCCCAGCTCGATCCTTGTGCCGCGGGGTGGGCACCGGCTCAGCTCATCCGCACCCGGCACCCCCCGGCCGGGAGGGGCGAGTCCTGCCCCTCAAGGGATGGGGTCGGTAGCTCCGGACACCCTCCTGCCCCGCTCCCCTGACGCTTCAGGCTGCGCACCCTACTCCGAGCCTGTCCCCGGCGTACCGGGCTCCCCCTGTGCGGGGCACGGAGGACGGGGATGTTTCCCAGGGCTGCTCTGGGAAGGGAAGGAGAGAGAGGGAAAGAGGAGGGGGGGAAGCTGGAGGGGGAAAAAAGGGRAAAAAAATGGAAAAAAAAGGAAGGAAGAAAGAAAGGCGGCCGCCTGGGGAAGCATGGGGCAGGGTGGGGGCTGGGGAGGGAGCGCAGGAGCACGGCAGCGAAGGAGTGCGGCCCCCCCGCACCCGGGCGTCACCGAAGTCCAGGAAAATTATGCTAATGAAGACAAACGGCGCTCACAAAGGGTCGCTCTCACCAGCCTCCAGGGTGCTGCTGKGGGGGTTTGAGTTTGTCCCTCTTACCGGTGGGCTTGGGGGGCAGCTGCAGAATAGCCCCTCCGCCGCTCCCCACCGCCGGGAGCCCCGCACAATCCCGGCTGAATCCCGGGGAGGGGAGCAAAGCCCGGAGAGCCGGGGCTCGGTCCGGAGAGCCAACCGAAGCCCACCAGGATCCCCGCTCTGGGCAATGCTTTCAGAGTCACGCTGGAAATCATTAGAGTTACTAATTATTAACTCATGCATGCGTGAGCGCACACACACACACAGATGTACACACAGACACCCCCCTGCCCCCCTCAAATATCTCCAGCGCCCGGGACGGGCACAGAGGCGCTCACACACACACATGTGCTGCCCAGACGGGTCGGGGTGCCCTCAGCACCCCGTGGGGAGGAGTGGGTGGGAGCCCCGGGTGGACRCGGACCCGGCGCCTCACTGTTCGCCTTCTTTCCGCGACACAGCTGGGGAAGGCGCTCGCGTCTTTCCTSAGCCCCACGGGGTTTGGGGGTGCTGGTGTCCCCCTAGTTCTCTGCAACAGAAACACGGCAGCGGCCGTGCAAACGAGAACTTAAACAAAGTTGCAGACTCTGCCCGCCTGGCAAACTGTAACGGGGCTCTGGGCTCCGCGCATTAAGGGGAGCCTCCGATTAAAATCTAGGTGTAAATTTGACGTTGGTTCGTTAATTAAGGCATTATAAATATAACTAGTCCGTTTAAAGCACGAGGGAGCGCGGCGTCATCTTTAAACACAAACAAAGCGAGGGGGAAGCGAGAAATAAAAAGCACTATAAGGCTGGGGTGGCCTCTTACGCATACCAATGGTTTTTGTCATTTATGGCTATGCAAGATTTATGACTTCGTGCACCAAAGCTGTAAACAGAGCACTAAAACAGAAAACACTTGCTCCTTATGGCATAAGTGAGAAGGCACCACATGAAAGGAGAAGCGGCCAGCGTAGGAGGAGAGAAGAGGCAAAAATCCTTCGTATGCGTTTTGCTTCAAACAATCCTGTGAATGTTGCTTTGGAAGGGRAAAAAAAAAAGTCTTTTTAGTCAATAATCAACCCCACACTTTCTTCTGAAACTGCTGATCTGCCATTCGCCCACTTGCCCGGCCAAATACTGAGAGGCAGCGCTGMGCCCCGACGGAGCCCCCCGGACCGGCGAGGAGGATTTGGAAAGGGAGAGAAAGATGGGGACTGCYGAAACCTACGGACACCGGGGAGCCTGCCGGTTTGGGGAGCCCCGCCGAAAGCTGGGCGAGTTTTTCCTAAGAGCGTGTTTCAACTTGGGARCCATCTCCAGCGGGATATTCGGACTAAATGTCTGTATTTAAGAACGGGGAACGGGAAACGGGAAGCGGGGGAGGTTTTTTTAAAAATGGAAGGATTTGTAAGGACTTCAATCGTGAGAACTGAAGTGGTTCGTAGGAATATTGAAGTGTTTCTTCCATTCATCTTACTGCCTGCAAAGGGTATTTTGCGAGATTTCTCCAATTAGTCCCGTTTCCCCACGCCCCCTCTCTCCCCAAAGAGGTAATTTTAAACATGAGAAGATGATTATTTTTTTTTATGTCTCCTATGATGTCGGGATAAGTGTCCCAACGCACAGATCCCCGCTGCTTTTATCTGTCTTTCCCTCCCAGAGGCCGAATATTTTCTTTCTGCTCCATTCCGCGGAGAGAGATAGGACTCAGCTCGGGGAGGAAAGGGCAGTGTTTGKGGCTGATTTCTGAGTCAGAAATGACCTGCCTTTTCTCCCCGAAGAGTCCCACTCTGTGGCGCTCCCTCCCCTCCCTCCCCCCACCTCCCCCGAATTACGATTTTCCGAATAAAATAATGCCTGTAAAGCGCCTTGTCCTTGGATGCCCCGAAATGGAAGCAGGCAGCACCATAATTCAAGGCTGGTTCTGGGGGATCTCTTAGAGGTGAAATAGCAAGGAGTGGAGTTGAGGGAGAAGGGGGCCAGTTCTGGAAGTGCTGCCTGTCCAAGTCATTAGAGAGTTAGAAGGTGCTATAAGCTGAATTAGAGAAGGACTGGACAATCGAAGCAAGCCATGGTCGATCTAAATTGTTGTTTATATTTTCTAACGCCACAGAGGCAACGCGCTCCTTGCTATTTGCTCAACAGAGTGAAGTTATTTACACAACTCCCCAAAATGCCCCTCTCCTCCAGAACTCTTCTTGCTTTCTTTTACTTTAGAGCAAGACTGTGCTATTTATGAATGTTTTAACTGGGTCAGTATGCATCCAAACTGGGTCATAAATCAGAGGAAAGTCTGCCAAGTAATTTAGCTGCAATAAAAGCTTGAATTTTATTTTTGAGGCACATTTTGGCCCATTTCAAAATACGGCAACGCCAATCTTGGCTTTTAGACACACAGATGGGAGTKAAACAGCTCTCCTTCCCTTGCTGAAGGGAGAGACACTGTTTCAGTATGGCGAGAAGGAGAAATAAAATTTATTTGGGTCAGCTCTGCTTTGAGAGCAGCTTTAAAGAGCGGGGAAACATAAGATCAGCCCAAACATCACCCTGCAGGTCCCTGCAGAATGACCGTGAATAGCTCCCAGTGAAAATAACTTAAATTTTGTTAATTTCAGCGAAGTTTTTATCATCATTCATTTTTTCCACTTTTGCTCTCTTCCTGACCCCTTAGAAGACGAGCAACTACAAACACGGAGTAACTGGACACAAAACGGTTCAACAGGAATAGACTAGAGGCACGGACAGAATGGGATGAAAGCGAGACCCAGTGCTCCAACCTTTCCCAAAGCCGGGGCACACCGGGGAAATAGGGTTTCATAGAGCTTTTTGCACTCTTTGGATAGCCAAGAAATCTTTCGTTTTTGTTATTTAAAGCGCTTCCTTCATATATATCTATACATTCACATTGATAAGTATATGTAAATATTTACATATTTATATATACGGATATATATGTAAGCGACGGTATCGATATGAATTTAGGATTGGTATATGTTCTCCTAGAAGATACTTTCCACTCCTCTCTTTTTTATTCTCGCTTTCCAGATCCCCATTCAGAGAGACAGAAAAAAAATCCCCACATTTTCAAGGCTGATTTATTGTTAGAAGCCGTGGCTGGCTCTTGGTTGAGCTCCTTCTCACCGCGGAGAAATAAAGAGGAGCGCCTTGGCTCATTTGGGAAGGGRAAGCTTTGCCATAGAGCAGAGCACTCACGCAGCGCTCCGCGCACAATAAACAAAGTACCACTAAAGCATCATAAATAAAATGGCAGCGCGATCGCACAGTCATCGATTTACGGAGCGGCAGCGGCCGAACAAACACCCATAAAACAACAACTGCCGCCGCACACTCGAGCGCGACCCCGACCGAGGAGCATCACACACCCCCCACATCGTTTTCTGCGACTTGCCCAAATACATAAATAAATMAAGACACAAACACACAAATAAAATACTAGAATACAATTAAGGGGGAAAATATTCAAACGCGACAATAAAAGAAGCTTCCTATCTCTAGCCGGTCATAAATAATGGTAAGATGGCAATCGAGGGGCTGTAGCAGAGGCAGCTGGCCATCAACAGCAGTGTGGGATCTCTATGGAGAAAAATAAATAAAGAAGAAAACTCTCCCTGCTCTGCTCGCTGCGAGGGTAGAGTTGAATATTTACCACAGCAAATTGAAACAAAGGGGGAAGCAGCCTGGCTCCGGGTGCACACACACCCGCACGCACACACACGCACTCACTCCAGCCTCTGCTACTGACCTTTGCCTCGAACAGCAATAACTCACCACATAAATGAACAATCAACGGAAATACCTTAAAATAAAATCCATCCTTTCTAACGAAGCATTTCGTCCTCTCGGCTCCACAATAACCTTTCCATAAGGAACGAAAGCTGTCAGCGAAATGGCCAGCTCTTGTGGGGACGGTGATGGGGGCAGGAGAAAAAAAAATAATAGAAAGCAGTGCTTGCTCTGAACAGAAACTGGAAAAGCGTAATCGCAGACAGAGCCAGACCGGGTCTCCACTCCAAATGCCACAATAATGCGCTGTATTATGTGCTCACGTGGTCATACGTCAACTTAAATCCTTTTATTTGAAATAGGGAATCATTGAAGGAACAGGGTTTCTTAGTGCGAGCCTTCGCTTTTTAAAGCCTTAACCCAATATGTTAAAGGAGAGTTTTAAGGGAGGGAAAAAAAAAACCTGAGAGATGCAGATGACAGTGGGGGGAGATTGGTCTGATTCCCTTTCCTCCCACACCAATATTTCTTTACACAAAGCCCTTTGGAAGGTAAGAGGAATTCTTATAACGCTGCACTTTGATACTTAGCCTAATTAACCGGCATTTGCTCCCCAGGCCTGCCACTCTGCTCCTCGTTGCATGTCTTCTGCGACCCCCGAAGAAAGCCCAAATCTTAATGCTATTATTTCCAGCCCCCTTCTAAACGGGACGATTACCAGCTTTCCCTCCACCCCCAGCTGCCTCTACCCTGCCATTGTACAGGGCTTGCTCAACTCCCACACGCTACATCAGGGCTCCTGTAGAAACTAAAAAGACCTATAATTACCTGACAAAGGCAAAAAAGAGTCTCTTCTAAGAGGCTAGTTGATTTTTGTCCTCGTAACACACTATGAAGAATACACCTTCCCTCACTGGCGCGCCTCTGAATTTTGCAAAATCTTTTGGGACCTTGCTGTTAAACCTGTGCTTACGCATTTCCTATACAGCTAGTTTGAGTGATGCACAAAATTATAGGTTTCTAACGCTGAGAAAAAAAAAAATTGGGGAGGGGGAGCTCTTTGCCTAAGGAAAAAAAAATTAGGAAAAAAAGAAAAGAGCAAAGTTGTATGTGGTCCCTGAGTCAGGCAGCTTTGCCTGTGTGTGAACCCATCACATCTTCCCTGTAAGATTGTTTAACTTGTGCTATTGACACAATAAGCTAAACAAACAAAAGAAACCCTCCACTCACACAACTTTTCTGGAAGGAGTCAAAGAAAATCAGATAGTTCACGCTTTTAGCGTGTTCCTGGTTCAGTTCTGTGACTCCAGCATTGTGCCTCATAATATGTACACCCTTGCTTAAATCTTTCCACCATCTCCCAWGAGCTCAAAGAAGCTAACTACATATCCCCTCTTACTGTTTCACCTGCACTTCATTGAACAGAATGGAAGGAGTTTTCTTTCTAARGGTGACTTTTATCGTTATGGCCAAGCCTCGCTATGCTCTCGCCTGGATTGCAAAAGTGGGCCACTGGAATGTAATCCCATCAGGAACAGCGTGCAGTGGTGGCATTGCAACAAAGTCAGCATGACGTTACAGCGGGAGAAAACTTTGTAATTTTTCACATGGAAGTGACTAAGCTAGTGCCAGGGTATACACACACTATCCCTCACTAGGAACYGGAATAAAAACTACAGACTTTTTGAAAAGAGAGGGCATTAGGCAGACTCGACATGCCCGAGTCTGTAATMAGCGTGCCTGGTAACTCCACAGCTCCCATGCTTGTTGTAAACCAAGGCCGATATTTGCTTGAGGTGGATGGATTCACGGCTCTTTTAAATTTGGTGCGTTCACATCCCATAGAAGAAACATATAGAGAACTTCTTCTGCACCAATGAAACTGAAATTAATGKGGAATGGAGCAGATAATGAAAAAAAGCAAAGCAAGTCTTTCTTGGGGCTGTTGTAAAAAGTTATCGACTGCTTTGCGTCAAAAGTAGAAAGATGGCTTTAGAAGTTACAGTCTTGAGCAAATAGAAACTACAAAAGCAATAAATCACAATCATAAGTCATCTGAAATGCCTTAACGCTAGCTGTGGCTATTGGCTTCAAAACCCTGTTTCTGTGAACATCTTTATTAGTATTAATGGTCAAGTTAATCCTAAAACTACTGTTTAACAATTAACTTGGTATATATAGCGGGGAAACTAATTAATTCTTAAGAAAAGTAACTTCTTGACGTGTGAATACCCTTCACAGAGAGGGCTTTGGGAAGGCAGAAGGGGGAGTCTGCCTAACTTCGTGCTGTCCTGAATTGCAGCTGAAAATTTTTGCCTTCCGCCGAATTTGGAGAAAGTTTTCTCTGCTCAAGCAGCGTGATTAGGAGGTTTCAGACACAAATTCAAATGGTCTTGCGAGTCGCAGGCACTAGACTTCCCTCGCCACCCCATTTATTGCTCTCTTTCTGTTCCTGGACACTCAACGTTGTGTTTTATTACCTTGATGATTTGGAGAGCCGAAAGACTGCTTCCAGTAGAAAAATGTGGAGTTTATCAGTAGGTCTGCTACTGATTTTTCTGTGCTTTATACACATGGCTTCGAGCTGAGCTGAAATTCCAGCCTCAGTAACAACAAACAGATCTGAGTCATAACGTGCCTTCATTAAGGGAGACCCTTTGTGCCCGTTCTGGCATTAGTAGCCACTCTCAGCATTAATGCTATTTAAAGTTACCTTCAATATAATAAGATCTAGAATTTKTACTGCGTTTCAAGTTTACTTTTACGCCAGTTGTTAAGAGGTGTGCCTATCACTCACATGTGGAGACGAAATGGGAATCACCGTCCGATGTAAGTACTTATTTCCTCGCTACCTCGAAAGATTTGCAATCTGCAGGGGCGCAGAGCTGTTTACCTACATCCGTGCGTCTGATAAAGTTGGTCTTTGATCATTTCCAAGTAGATAAAAAGAGCAGCGTTATCGACTCGACTGTGCCCTTGTGTGAGAAGTTCTGCTCAGAGTCAGATGAGTCTGCCGCTGTTGGGTCCGTTAAGGAATCCCAAATATCTC